GCTTGGTGCAGGCTCTGGGCACGGGGCAGACACAGGGGAGCTTTGGGAGGCTCTGGGGCCGATTGGAGGGTTGGGCTGGATGGAGCCACGGGCTTGTTGTGCTCGTGTGAACACAACTGTGCAGGGCACGGGGTCTGGTTCAAACTCCAGCTGTCCTGGTGTTCAGGGAGGCAGGGTCTGAGGGGTTGTGTTTGCCTGAGGCTTTCCAGGGCACCAGGAAGGAGAGGAAAGGTGGTGCCAGAGCTGCCACTTCAGCTTGTGTTTCCCTCTGAGGCCAGAGAGTCTCTGAGCTGAGGGGAGAATGCTGTGAGTGTTTGGATGAGCAATCCAGGGAACAGAGAGCTTGGTATTCCAGGTATTGATGGAATCATTGCCTTAGGTCTGTTTAGTTTGTGTCTGTAGGAATGGGAATTGGGCTGGAGAGCAGTTGTTGGGAATAAATCTGCTCCATGACTGTGCAACAAAGGACTGGATAGCAGGGAAGGGGAGTATTTATTTAGCTATAGCAATTTTTCACCCAAGTTTGGGGGGGGAGCAGTGATGGGACTGGCTGGGTTTGCCCTGGGCCTGTCAGGATTAGCCATAAACATACCCACCAAACCCCTGAACCCACGATGAACGTGTCAAACACTTCAGCAGAAACCCAAGTCAGAATTTTTTGACAGAGGAAAAATTGTCAGTAATTGGTCATGATGGGTGGGGAATTTCCTTTGGAATTAATAATGCAGAACATTTCTTTTTGCTTTTTTCCTGGTTTGTAATTTCCTCTCTGGCTTCAATTAATTTTGTGTGCTCCTGTTAAGCAAAGCAGCATGTTTTTACTTTCAATTCTGATGTGTTTTTGTTTGTTTAGGGTTTCCTCCCCCCCACAGCTGAATCAATCCTTCCATGAATAGGCTGTTCTACACACCTGTTTTGAATAAGGGTCAGAGAAAGAAGAGAAATTACTTTTTATTATCTTGAATTTTTCCAAACAGAAGTGGGATGTCATCTTGCTCTTCCCAAAACCACTCCAGGCACACGGGCATAGCTCAGTGATGGCACAGTTCTCTGGGAAATAACAATGTTTGAGAGGTTTAATAACAACTCTGTTGTCTCTTGATTGCAAAGATTCAGTGCTACATTCTCAGACTGAGGAGGAAAAGAAGAAACTTCTCCTATTAAAACCTGCTGTTATTCTTTTTGCAGTCTTTTAATTCTGTTGTATCATTTACTGTCAGGTATTTAGCAAGAGTTGATGGAAATTCAGATTTAGGATTAGAATTTGGGTCCGTTCACTACAAAACCTTGCCAAGCCTAAAGGACAGGGGTGATGGCTGATCTCATCAAAAGTTATTTATTAATATTAAGGCAGATTTCCCTCAGCTCTGAGCAGGAAACCCCTGGGACCAAACTGAAGGTCAGAATTAGGGCTGTGTCTTCAGACTGATCCAGGTGAGGTCGATGCAGGTGTGAGGTTTGGGCCCACACACAGAGTTTAAACAGGACCAGGGGGACAGAAGCTGCATTTTGTTGCCTCCTGAGGTTTTAGATCCCCCCTGGAGATTTCTTCAGGGCAGGCAGATTTTCCCCCAGGGAGCAGAAGGGAAACCTGCCCATCCCGTGGGCATTGCTGGCCTCTGTCTCTGTGTTTTGCCATCCAGCTGTGGGAATTTGCTGCTGTCACTGCCAAGGCCACCCTGCCTGGGGGTTGTGTCCTCCTTGCAGCCCTTCCCAGCCCCAAACAGAGATCCAGTTGTGCCTCTGGGCTGTCTGGGAGTGTTTGCTGGGAATGTGCTTTAAATACACCATCCCTGGGAATGTCCCTCAGGACGGAGCACTGGGGACAGTTTGGGCTTGTCAGCTTCAGAGCTGGATTGGAAAAGTCACTAAAAGGAATGAGGAGAATAGAGTTTGTCAAACTGGTGCTTTCATACCCCACCTGACAGTCTCTGCTTTGTGTTTGAGGTTGTCAGCTTTTTCGCTGCAGATAAATCCCCTTCCCAACCCAGCCCAGCAGATCCCAAGGGCTCTTCCAGGAGTATTTATTCTGTACTTCCCTTTGTGATAAGTTAATCTCCAAACTGCCATGAGGAATTTCTTCATTTCTCCTGGAGAAAACCAAATGGCAGAGGCAGTTTTTGCCAAGGAGCCCCTGGTTGTGTCTGGAGAAGAGAGTGCTGACAGCATCGTGTGCCTGTGCCACCTCGGCCTGGCAACATCCAGATAGAAAAAAGATTATCAGATGGAACAAAATCAGGTCATTGAAGAGGTTTTCTCCTGGAGAAATAAGTCACTGGGCAGGCATTGAACTTAGAAATCGGTTGGTCTTCCCCCAGAAAGCATCATTCACATCATTATTAGTGATATGACCTGTGCCCACTGCTCATTTTTCCACTAACAAAAAGGAAAAGCAAATGTTGGCTTGAATTTAAGAATTTAAAATAGCATTAAAACAAAAGAAATCACTTTTTTTCTTCCTCTTTTTTTTCTTTTAGATGATGGAATTGCCTCTCTGGATGCGTGCTGAGCTCTGGCTGCAGGGGACTGTAAAAATGAGGTAATCAGCAGTGGACATTTCGGGAGAATTTGGGGGGCAAAACCTAAGGTAAGGTGTAAGGAGCAATAAGTATTTTGGAGAAAAAAAAGCCTGACATAATTTGTAGGTGAGAGAATGAACATTTTGGGGATGACATAAATTGTGTGTGTGTGTTTAATAAACATCCTGGTCAGTTACTCTGAACTATTCATGTGCTTGAACTCCTCTGTCCCTGACTTGTGATCTGGGGGTATTTGGGTTTAACATCGAGGTAATATATAGGGGACAAAATGGAGGGGTTTGGCCTAAGCCCTGAATTAATCTGCAGGTAAAGGAATGAGTATTGTGAGGTAAAAATGAGGTACTCATTAGTGGACAGGTAGGGAAAATGTTGGGAGTGAACTTGAGGTAGTGTATAGTGCAGAGAAGGAATATTTTGAGATAAATTGAGGCAATCACTAGAAAAAAGGTAGGGAAACTTCTGGGTCTAAAATGTGAGGCAATCTCTAAGGAGGGGATGAACATCTTGAGGGTAGACTCAGGCAATCAATACTGCACAGGTCAGAAAATTTTGGGAGGGGTCAAGGTTGAGGTCATCTCCAGGGTAGGAAATAAATATTTTAAGGTAAAAATGAGGTAATCAGAAGGGGACAGTTAGGGAAGTTTTGGTGGGTAAAACCAGGTAATCTAAGAGTAGAGAATGAACATTTTGAGGTAACAATGAGGTAATGAAAGGGGGACAGATAGGAAAAATTTGGCAGGAAATCTGAGGTGATCTCTAGGGGAGAGAAGGGACATTTTGAGGTAAATTGAGGCAGTGAGTCATGGACCGGTAGGGAATTCTGGAGAGGGAAAACACTTGATGTAACCTCCAGTGCAGAGGATGAATATTTTGAAATAAAAAATGAGGTCATCAGTAGTGGCCTTCTGAAGTAAACTTGAGGTGGTCTATAGCACACAGAATGGCTATTGTGAGGTAACCTGAGGCAATCAGTAGTGCACAGGTAGGGAAATTTTGGGGGTTAAAATCTAGCAGGGTAAAATCTAAAGGAGTGAGAGCTACAGATATTTATTAAGCAGTGGATTTCTTGACAGTATTTTATGTACTAAATATTTACGCTGAGGGCAGGTGACTCTTCCTTCTGCCAAGATCAAATCCAGAGATGGAATTAGATGCTGTGTTGTAGGGACAGAACAGAAAGTTAAGCTACTAAACTGCTGTAGAGAAATGATTGATTTGTATTCTTCAAAAAGATGACAGGGTTTTATCACAGTTTTATCTCATTTCTCGGTGGGCTATTACAGTTTCACATGCAATTGCTGCCCCCCTCTAAGGAATCCCCAGGACCGACCCATTTAATGCTGTGAAGTGATTGGGGCCCCAAAGATCCAATTCTGGCAACATCCCGGTGCCCCTGTGGGGTCCCTCAGAGGAAATAAGGGTGGCAATGGCTCAGCAGAGTGTCCAGCCCCCAGTGCAGATAATCCTTGGACCTTTGGATGTCCTTTCTTCCAAGCTCATTGCTCTGTCTGTCACTCCTGATGCTGTGTGTGTATCGGGGAGCACGTGACAATAAAACCTTCAACAGCCCAAGTCTTTCCCTGCTTTGACTCAAATGGCAGGGCCTGGTTTTGGCATTTTGAAATTTCCTCTTTTGTAGCTGTGTCCATCCCAGGCAGGACCTTCCCTATCTGGAAATAAAGATTAAATATTTCAGCTGAGCTTCTGAAAACACGGGTTTTGCCACTGGAGAGTGTGAGTTGCAGAGCAATGGGGGGAGAGGAAGGAGAGGGCCAGGTCTAACCTGGCAGGTGCTGTCAGATGAGCTGCACCTTATTGACTGGAGGGTAAAAAGTCACTGTTTGAAATTCTGTGAGTTCTGAGAGCATGGAGAGCTGAAGGCAGAGCTGGGATAAGCCTGTGCCTGACCCGTCACAAGATCAGTGCCAGCTCCTGGACCAGGAGTGCTCAGGGGCTGCCCGATGGACACGCGGACATGGGGAGATGGGCAGCTGCTCAGGTTCCCTAGGGCAGGGGTATTTTAGCCCCGAAGTCACCATCGGTGCCCTTTCTTCGCTCAGTGCGCAGCCGGGGCGAACAAAACCGGGAACTGCAGTTCCAGTGCGGACGAGCCCAGCGCGCCCCGAGTGCCGCCTGCAGTTCCTGTCCTGTTTCGCCAGACGGCGCCACTGAGCGCGGCCGTTCCCGCAGCCCCGCACAGCGCGCCCCGAGTGCCGCCTGCAGTTCCTGTCCGGTTTCGCCAGACGGCGCCACTGAGCGCGCTCGTTCCCGCAGCCCCGCCCCGCGGCCGCAGGTGCCGCGCAGGGCCCGCCCCGGCCCGGCCCCGCCCCGCGGCCCTTTTCCCGAGCGCCAGTGGGGCCCCGGCGGGAGCTTTGGTGTGCCGGGTCCGGGAGGAGCAGGTGAGTGCCGGGGCTGTGCGGAGAGGGGCCGAGCTGCCGGCTGCGGGTGCCGCGAGCCCGGGTGTCGGTGCCCGGCAGGGCCGCGTGTGCGGCGAGACCTTCGGGCCCCCGCGGGACGGAGGGCGCGGAGCTCGGCTCGGGCCGTCCCGGCTGCGGGCTGCGGCCCCGTCCGGGGGCTGGAGCGGCCGCCCCTGGGCCGTGCCGGAGCTCGGCTGCCCCGGGCCGGGGCCTCTCCCGGAGGGACGCGCGGCGCGGCGGGGAACGCGCCCGGCCCTCGGTGTCGCGTACGCGAGTGTTTTCCCACCGTCTTTGCACAGGTTGAGCTCCGCGGGAACTGCCCGGGGGCTGCCGGCCAGAGCCCCCCGAGGATGGGGCTCCCCGAGCACGGGGCAACCGCAGCCACCTGCGGGTCAGCCAGCGGAAAGGTTTCCCGGTTGTTGCAGTCTCCAAACTCGCCGTGCCTCGTTCCCGGCAGCCCTGCCCGGGCCAGCCCGGCTCAGCACAGCAGCGGAGAGGACGAGCCCGGCCAGGACACAGCAGAGCCCCGGGAGAGGTGACACGGGAGGGAATGTCGGGTGAGTGCTTTGACACGGGCTGGGGGTCTGTGCTGGGGGCTGTGGCAGGATTGGACCCTCGTGGCTTTGCTGCAGCTGCATTTGCTGTTTGGTGCTGGCCCGGCCCAGCTGTGTGTGTTTGCTGTGGCGGGTTGAGGCTCAGCTCGTGTTTAGCTCCCGGGCTTGCTCAGACACGTTTCTCAGGGGACACAGCACAGCCTGGGGCTCCCCAGTCCTGCCGGGGGACGGGCACGTCCTGTGGGTTCTGGGGCTGTGCCAGCCCCGGCAGCTCTGACTGAGCATTGCCTCCCTTTCCGCAGATCCACAGGAGATGCCGCCGCTCCCACCTGCCCCGGGAGATCTGGGGGGCCCCTCCTGCCGCCTGCTCTTGGAACGGCTCCGGGAGAGACCTCCACGCAGAGAGGGGCACGTGCTGTGACCTGAATCCCTGAGGGAAGAGGCTGTGCTCCCTGCTGCTCCCAGCTCCTGAACAGGGACAGCCCTGCCTGCGCCTGCCGGGAGTCCAGAGCGCAGCAATCGCAGCTCCAGCCACCAGATCTCCCTGCCAGCAGTCCCTCCTTCCTGCTGCAGCTGCAGGTAAGCTCAGCTCTCCCTCACACAGGCCTGTTCCAGCTCCAGCTCACGGACACTCCAGCCACGCAGCTGTTCCAGCCACCGGCCAATCTGGACAGGAGTGTTCCTGCTTCGTACAGCTCCTGCTGCTGGACCCTCCCCTGTCCTACTGCTCGGGATGCTTGGAGACTCAGGTGATTGCAATTCCTTCTGTTGTTTCACTTTCAGGTGATGCCCCAGTCAGCTTCTTCAGGCTCCAGCTGTGGCTGTGCAGTGCTCCAGGTGCTTCCAGGCTGCTCCAGTTCATTCCAGCTATGGCTCTGAGATGCTCCAGTTTGTTCCAGCTATGGCTCTGAGATCCTCCAGTTTGTTCCAGCTCTGCCTCCGAGACGCTCCAGTTGATGGCTGCTCCAGTTGGTTCCAGCTCTGGCTCCGAGATGCTCCAGTTGATTCCAGCTCTGGCTCCGAGATGCTCCAGTTGGTTCCAGCTCTGGCTCCGAGATGCTCCAGCTGGTTCCAGTTCTGGCTCTGAGATGTTCCAGTTGATTCCAGCTCTGGCTTATTAAATGTTGCTTCTTGTTGCAAGCCAGTTAAAGCTCCAGGTGCTTGGAGCGATTTGGGCTTCTGGCCAAGTTGTAAATCACTCACTGTCATCGAGTGTATATGAATATGAGCTGTCATAATTGTCTCAATATTGTAGCTATTCCGGTGTTTGTACAAATAAAGAGTTGGACTGGAAAAAGGGCTGGAAAGTGCCTTTCGCTCCAGAGACTATCTCGAACGCTTAAATCGGCCTGGTGCATGCCGGCGTCCCGGAGTTTGGGGAACAACGCGACCGACCCCCTCCGGAGGGGGTCCACGCAACCCGGACCCCCTCCTGGGAGGGGGTCCTCATGCCCAGCCCTCCCTCTCCCGGAACCCCCTCCTCCGGGAGGGGTCCTTATGCCACCCAGCCCTCCCACCAAAGTCAGCCCAGCCTCGGCCTTCTGTTTTGGGGGGCTGGAAACAGCCGGCTGAGCCGCTGCTTCCAGCCTCCAAAACAAGGCCCTGAGGGACTTTTCTGAGGCCCAGAAAGGCAACCCTGAGGCTAAATCCTCAAATTTCCAAGTTGGAAAAGTGATGGACTTAGTTTTTTTTCTGAGCTTCAGAAAAGCCTTGCCCACCCTCTGCTTTGGAGCCCCAGAAGCACAGCACTTAGTTGGGTTTCTTTCTCAGAGCTGGGAAACTGCAGGACTTAACCTGCATTTCCAAGGGGAAACTGTGGGACTTAACCAAAATTTCAAAGGCAGGAACTGCAGGACTTAACCTGCATTTCAAAGGTTGAATAAGTGGGACTTAGTCATTTCTGGAGCTCAAGGGGAAACTGTGGGACTTAACCAAAATTTCAAAGGCTGAAACTGCAGGACTTAACCTGCATTTCAAAGGCTGAATAGGTGGGACTTAGTCACTTTTGGATTTCAAGGGGAAACTGTTGACTTAACCAGGATTTCAAAGGCTGAACTGCAGGACTTAACCTGCATTTCAAAGGCCGAATAGGTGGGACTTAGTCATTTTTGCAGTTTCACAAACATAGGGCTGTGCTGGTGGGACCCCAAATCCCTCCCAGAGCTTGTTTTCAAGGCCCAAAAGTGCAATCCTCAGTCTCTGTTCTCAAAACATGAAAACACAAGACTTAGCTTCCACTTTCAGGCCCCAAAACACAGGACTTGGTCTCCATTTTCAACCGTGGAAAATGCAGCACTGAGTCCCTTTCTGGGCTCCAAACCCACCCCAGTTCACAACGTTTCCAAGCACCCAAAACACAGCACTTGGAGTTCAACCCCGCACTGCACCCCTGCCCGGGACCCCGCGTGTGATGTGATGTGATGCTGGGGGCTGGGAGGGAGCGCTGCCCACCCCCACCCAGGGCCCGGGTCCAGTCGGCGGGAAGTGCTTGGGAACTGTGCTGGAGGGCCCTCCGTGCAGGAGGGGCCCGTCCCGTGTCTCTGTGGGGCCGCGCCGGCAGACGGGGGAGCACTTTATTCACGTTTATTGCACCTGCACACACACAAAGAGCCGCAGCCCCCCCAGGGGAGCCCTGCCCGGGAACAGCCCGGCCGGGCACGGAGCACCACGCCCGTGTCCAGCCCAACGTGCCCCGCCGCCCCCGAAGCCCTCCGGCCGCAGCGAGCCCCGAACCCCCCACGGGAACCTCCCGCCCGCTCCCCGAGAGAAAGCCCCTCGGAGCCCCCAGACCCCGCCCGGGGCAAGCCCCGGCGGCCGCGGCAGCCGCTGCCCGTCCCTGCCCAGCCCGAGCGGCTCCCGGCACTCGGCCCCGCCGCCGCCGCTGCCCGACCCGTCCCGGCACAGCCTCGGCCCGGGGCCGCCTCTGTGCGCCCCGGAGGCTCCGGCCCCAAGCCCGGCAGGGCTCCCGGCCCCGCGGCCCCTCACCTGCTCCGGGCTCCGCCGCCGCTGCCCCCGCGTGGAGCGGAGACCCCACAAAGAAGCCCAGACCTGAGAAAGGAGCGGCCCCGCCACGGCCGAGGCTTTTCTGGCCCCGGCCCCGCCCCGGCCCCGCCCCGGCCCTGCCCGGCACCTGCTGCTCGTTCCGGGCCCCGCCCGCCCCGCACCTGCTGCTCGTTACCGGCACCGGCACCTCCTCACCGGCCCCGCCCCGGCACTGCAGCAGCCACAGCTGTGCTGGAGCTGGCACTGACACAGAAACACAGCCCGGCCCACCCACACCAAAGTAAACACGGGCTGCAGGGGAAAACAAATCTCATTGGCCGGCGCACAACAAAGTAATAGCGGAGCGTTTCCCCTTCCCTGCGCTCCAGGCACATCAGTGATCCCTGCTCTCATCAGTGTCCCCAGGCACATCAGTGATCCCAGCCCTCAGCAGTGTCCCCATGCACATCAGTGATCCCAGCCCTCATCAGTGTCCCCAAACACATCAGTGTCCCCAAGCACAGCAGTGATCCCAGCCCTCAGCAGTGATCCCAGCCCTCATCAGTGACCCCATGCACATCAGTGTCCCCAAGCACATCAGTGTCCCCAACACACATCAGTGATCCCCAGCCCTCAGCAGTGTCCCAACACATCAGTGTCCCCAGGCACATCAGTGATCCCAGCCCTCAGCAGTGTCCCCAAGCACATCAGTGATCCCAGCCCTCAGCAGTGTCCCCAAACACATCAGTGATCCCAGCCCTCAGCAGTGTCCCCAGCCCTCAGCAGTGTCCCCAAGCACAGCAGTGTCCCCAGTCTGACGGCGTCCCTGTGTCAGGGGCAGCGTGGCAGGGCCACCTGCAAGGGGCACCAGGAGAGAGGGGAAGGCAGGACCCCTGGCACGCGGGAGATGTGGGAAGCGAGGCCCTGGCAGGCAACAGTTCCGAGCTGGGAAACCCCTTCCTCCTGGAGGATCCAAGTCTCTCCGTGAAAAGAATGGCAGCAAAACTCAGGGGAGCGATCTGTTCCCGCCGGAGAGAAGGAGGGGAGGGCGCCCAGCTGGGAAATGGGGAGCGACTGGGCAGTCTGGGGGCTGGGCTGGCACTGCCTGGTCCCGCAAGGAGCCGGGTTTATCCCGGCAGGGCCCGTGTCACCAGGCTGAGAGGTCCCACCGGGGCTGCCTGCACCGGGATGGGACAAAGCCGGGGCTCTGCACACCACGTGTGCCCCTCCAGCCCGGCCCAGCTGCCCACGGGGCACTGCAGCAGCTGAGATGGAAGCTCAGAGCCACAGGCAAAAGGGGCTCCTTTACCTCCATCAGGGATCGTCCCTGTCCCCTGCACGGCTCCAGGCAGGTCCCCGTGGCTCTGACAGGCACAGCTTCCCACGCAGCACAGCAGAAACGAGCCCAGCGTGGCCCCTGCCAGGGACTGGGTGCCCCTCCGGAGCCTGCAGAGGAATCAGCAAGAGGAGAGACCCATCACAATCCCGGCCCTTCCCAGAGAGAGGAAACTCAGCCCCGGGACTGAGGGGCCGCCAGTCAGTCCCGGAGGGGGCACCTGCTCTAATTCCAGCGGGGCCCACGGGGCCTCCTTCCGCTATTGCCCGTGCTGAGAGAGCTGGATGTTTGTCCCCGGCCCAGCCCCGCAGCCCAAGGGGAGCAGGGCCACGTTAGCAGGACCTGCCCCTTCCTGCCACGGGCCCAGGGAGGGTCCCGAGGGCCGTGCCGGCTGACACCGCAGCCTCCTGCCCGCTCGCCACGGGGCACCTCGCGGCTGAAATCCACCCTCCTGCTGACAGCTGCAGCTGGGCAGCGTTTGGGCTGATGGATATGGGGCTCAGGGATACTGGGAACCTGCTGACAAGAACCTGCTGCTGCGTCAGCAAACCTGGAGGTGGAATTGCACACGGCGACCCCAAGCCGGGCCATCTGCTTGCCTTGCCGAGGCCGTGTGTTGCTCCCAGTCCCAGGAAATCTGTTTCCCTGCCCATCCCCAGAGACAGGCGGCCCCCAAAACGCCTGGCACACGGGAAGCACAGGCTGCAGGAGCTGGCAGGGCCCAGTGGCCGTGTGTGGTGTGTGACAGCGTGTCCCGCAGCCCCAGGGACCTGCACAGCAGGGACAGGCCCCGGCAGCGTTTCAGTGCCGAGCCCAGAGCAGGCTCAGGGACAGCCGGGGCACGTGGCAGCTCTGGGAATCTCTGCCACGCATGGCTGGGCCTTCTGGGACTGCCTGCTGGCCAAAGGAGCTTCTCTGCAGACCGTGGAACCAACAGTCTCAGGGACTGCAGGAGCATTTGGGGGGCAGAGACTGAAAGGGGGCTGTGAAAGGTTGTGTGCTGCAGAAAGCAGCTGAGAGAATTGTTTCAGGCCGCAGTTACGTCTGTGCTTCTGCTACACCAAGCGGCGAGTCTAACCTGGCCTTTTGGCTCACCTTGCTGAGACTTTGCTAAGCTTTAGACAAGGGCTGTAGCTTTTGTAAGGAAGGGGCAGTGGGGAAAGAACGTGACTTTTACAAACGGACAGAATGTGTAGCTTCCAAGTGACAGGGAACCACTCAGCAGCCAGCGTTCAAGGCTGGGCCACTGGATTTGTGCTGGGCTCCCCCACGTCTCGGGAACACACTGCTCCAATCACACCCTCTGTCCAACAGATGCCTGCGATTACAAAACTTCCACTGCATAAACCCCTTCCCCTCTGAAGGACTCAGTGCTATCACTGTCACAATCACCCAAAAAATAAACAGCTTATCCAAATTCCCCAGTCATTTCTCTATGGAACAGGCCCAGCGTCACAGCAGTCCCTGTGCCTTTCCACGGAAGGGAGCCTGGTTTGGACGCTCCCGCTACACCTGCACTAGGAAGCACTGGTGTGTCACGGCTGCTCTCCGGGGTTTTTCCGCACTGTCAGACTCTCCGTGTGGTTCGGTTCCCAGTCAGAGCCGCTCCCCACAGCGCTGTCCCGGACGGGCCCGGGACCCCCGGCCCCGCAGCGCCCCCCGCGCCGCCGCTCCGCCTGGCGCCGTCTGGCGGACACGGCCGGTACTGCAGGGCACATTCCATGGCACGCTGAGTTTGCAAGGGATCTCACTTTATGTGGTTTTGCCTCTACCGAGTTTAGTGAGTCTCAGGACGAGGCACTGCAAGGTGCTCCTACCCCGTGAGCCCGGGTGCCCATGCCCGGCAGGGCCGTGTGTGCCCAGAGACATTCGGGCACCCGCGGGACAGACATTCAGGAGCTCGGCCCGAGATCGGTCCGGGCTGTCCCGGCTTGGACTGTCCCGGGAGCTCGGCTGCCCCCGGGTCGAGGCCTCTCCCGGAGGGAAGCGCGTCACGGCAGAGAAAGGGCCGGGAACTGTGCGCAGTGCCAGTGCGTACAGGCAGCTGCTCCCGGTGAATGAAGGGCTGGCACTGCGGGCCCAGCGCGCCCCGAGTGCCGCCTGCAGTTCCTGTTCGGTTTCGCCAGACGGCGCCACTGAGCGCGGCCGTTCCCGCAGCCCCGCCCCGCGGCCGCAGGTGCCGCGCAGGGCCCGCCCCGGCCCGGCCCCGCCCCGCGGCCCTTTTCCCGAGCGCCAGTGGGGCCCCGGCGGGAGCTTTGGTGTGCCGGGTCCGGGAGGAGCAGGTGAGTGCCGGGGCTGTGCGGAGAGGGGCCGAGCTGCCGGCTGCGGGTGCCGCGAGCCCGGGTGTCGGTGCCCGGCAGGGCCGCGTGTGCGGCGAGACCTTCGGGCCCCCGCGGGACGGAGGGCGCGGAGCTCGGCTCGGGCCGTCCCGGCTGCGGCTGCGGCCCCGTCCGGGGGGGCTGGAGCGGCCGCCCCTGGGCCGTGCCGGGAGCTCGGCTGCCCCCGGGCCGGGGCCTCTCCCGGAGGGACGCGCGGCGCGGCGGGGAACGCGCCCGGCCCTCGGTGTCGCGTACGCGAGTGTTTTCCCACCGTCTTTGCACAGGTTGAGCTCCGCGGGAACTGCCCGGGGGCTGCCGGCCAGAGCCCCCCGAGGATGGGGCTCCCCCCGAGCACGGGGCAACCGCAGCCACCTGCGGGTCAGCCAGCGGAAAGGTTTCCCGGTTGTTGCAGTCTCCAAACTCGCCGTGCCTCGTTCCCGGCAGCCCTGCCCGGGCCAGCCCGGCTCAGCACAGCAGCGGGAGAGGACGAGCCCGGCCAGGACACAGCAGAGCCCCGGGAGAGGTGACACGGGAGGGAATGTCGGGTGAGTGCTTTGACACGGGCTGGGGGGTCTGTGCTGGGGGGCTGTGGCAGGATTGGGCCCCTCGTGGCTTTGCTGCAGCTGCATTTGCTGTTTGGTGCTGGCCCGGCCCAGCTGTGTGTGTTTGCTCAGCTCTCCCTCACACAGGCCTGTTCCAGCTCCAGCCACGCAGCAGTTCCAGCCACCGGCCAATCTGGACAAGAGTGTTCCTGCTTCGTACAGTTCCTGCTGCTGGACCCTCCCCTGTCCTACTGCTCGGGATGCTTGGAGACTCAGGTGATTGCAATTCCTTCTGTTGTTTCACTTTCAGGTGATGCCCCAGTCAGCTTCTTCAGGTTCCAGTTGTGGCTGTGCAGTGCTCCAGGTGCTTCCAGGCTGCTCCAATTGATTCCAGCTGTGGCTCCGAGATGCTCCAGTTCATTCCAGCTCTAGCTCCTAGGTGCTCCAGTTGATGGCTGCTCCAGTGGTTCCAGCTCTGGCTCCAGATGCTCCAGTTGGTTCCAGCTCTGGCTCCAAGATGCTCCAGTTGGTTCCAGCTCTGGCTCCAAGATGCTCCAGTGGATTCCAGCTCTGGCTTATTAAATGTTGCTTCTTGTTGCAAGCCAGTTAAAGCTCCAGGTGCTTGGAGCGATTTGGGCTTCTGGCCAAGTTGTAAATCACTCACTGTCATCGAGTGTATATGAATATGAGCTGTCATAATTGTCTCAATATTGTAGCTATTCCGGTGTTTGTACAAATAAAGAGTTGGACTGGAAAAAGGGCTGGAAAGTGCCTTTCGCTCCAGAGACTATCTCGAGCAGCTAAATCGGCCTGGTGCATGCCGGCGTCCCGGAGTTTGGGGAACAACGCGACCGGACCCCCCCCTCCGGAGGGGGTCCACGCAACCCCGGACCCCCTCCCTGGGAGGGGGTCCTCATGCCCAGCCCTCCCCCCTCCCGGAACCCCCTCCTCCGGAGGGGGTCCTTATGCCACCCAGCCCTCCCACCAAAGTCAGCCCAGCCCCGGCCTCTGTTTTGGGGGGCTGGAAACAGCCGGCTGAGCCGCTGCTTCCAGCCTCCAAAACAAGGCCCTGAGGGACTTTTCTGAGGCCCAGAAAGGCAACCCTGAGGCTAAATCCTCAAATTTCCAAGTTGGAAAAGTGATGGACTTAGTTTTTTTCTGAGCTTCAGAAAAGCCTTGCCCACCCTCTGCTTTGGAGCCCCAGAAGCACAGCACTTAGTTGGGTTTCTTTCTCAGAGCTGGGAAACTGCAGGACTTAACCTGCATTTCCAAGGGGAAACTGTGGGACTTAACCAAAATTTCAAAGGCTGAAACTGCAGGACTTAACCTGCATTTCAAAGGTTGAATAAGTGGGACTTAGTCATTTCTGGAGCTCAAGGGGAAACTGTTGGACTTAACCAGAATTTCAAAGGCTGAAACTGCAGGACTTAACCTGCATTTCAAAGGCTGAATAGGTGGGACTTAGTCTTTTTGGGAGCTTCACAGAAGGCTGTGCTTGTGGGATCCAAAATCCTTCCCAGAGCTTGTTTTCAAGGCCCAAAAGTGCAACCCTCAGTCTCTGTTCTCAAAACATGAAAACACAAGACTTAGCTTCCACTTTCAGGCCCCAAAACACAGGACTTGGTCTCCATTTTCAACCGTGGAAAATGCAGCACTGAGTCCCTTTCTGGGCTCCAAACCCACCCCAGTTCACAACGTTTCCAAGCACCCAAAACACAGCACTTGGAGTTCAACCCCGCACTGCACCCCTGCCCGGGACCCCGCGTGTGATGTGATGTGATGCTGGGGGGCTGGGAGGGAGCGCTGCCCACCCCCCACCCAGGGCCCGGGTCCAGTCGGCGGGAAGTGCTTGGGAACTGTGCTGGAGGGCCCTCCGTGCAGGAGGGGCCCGTCCCGTGTCTCTGTGGGGCCGCGCCGGCAGATGGGGGGGAGCACTTTATTCACGTTTATTGCACCTGCACACACACAAAGAGCCGCAGCCCCCAGGGAGCCCTGCCCGGGAACAGCCCGGCCGGGCACGGAGCACCACGCCCGTGTCCAGCCCAACGTGCCCCGCCGCCCCCGAAGCCCTCCGGCCGCAGCGAGCCCCGAACCCCCCACGGGAACCTCCCGCCCGCTCCCCGAGAGAAAGCCCCTCGGAGCCCCCAGACCCCGCCCGGGGCAAGCCCCGGCGGCCGCGGCAGCCGCTGCCCGTCCCTGCCCAGCCCGAGCGGCTCCCGGCACTCGGCCCCGCCGCCGCCGCTGCCCGACCCGTCCCGGCACAGCCTCGGCCCGGGGCCGCCTCTGTGCGCCCCGGAGGCTCCGGCCCCAAGCCCGGCAGGGCTCCCGGCCCCGCGGCCCCTCACCTGCTCCGGGCTCCGCCGCCGCTGCCCCCGCGTGGAGCGGAGACCCCACAAAGAAGCCCAGACCTGAGAAGGAGCGGCCCCGCCACGGCCGAGGCTTTTCTGGCCCCGGCCCGCCCCGGCCCCGCCCCGGCCCGCCCGGCACCTGCTGCTCGTTCCGGGCCCCGCCCGCCCCGCACCTGCTGCTCGTTACCGGCACCGGCACCTCCTCACCGGCCCCGCCCCGGCACTGCAGCAGCCACAGCTGTGCTGGAGCTGGCACTGACACAGAAACACAGCCCGGCCCACCCACACCAAAGTAAACACGGGCTGCAGGGGAAAACAAATCTCATTGGCCGGCGCACAACAAAGTAATAGCGGAGCGTTACCCCTTCCCTGCGCTCCAGGCACATCAGTGATCCCTGCTCTCAGCAGTGTCCCCAAACACATCAGTGATCCCAGCCCTCAGCAGTGTCCCCAGGCACATCAGTGATCCCAGCCCTCATCAGTGTCCCCAAACATATCAGTGTCCCCAAGCACATCATGCAGTGATCCCCAGCCCTCATCAGTGTCCCCAAGCACATCAGTGTCCCCAGCCCTCAGCAGTGTCCCCAGCCCTCAGCAGTGTCCCCAAGCACATCAGTGTCCCCAGTCTGACGGCGTCCCTGTGTCAGGGGCAGCGTGGCAGGGCCACCTGCAAGGGGCACCAGGAGAGAGGGGAAGGCAGGACCCCTGGCACGCGGGAGATGTGGGAAGCGAGGCCCTGGCAGGCAACAGTTCCGAGCTGGGAAACCCCTTCCTCCTGGAGGATCCAAGTCTCTCCGTGAAAAGAATGGCAGCAAAACTCAGGGGAGCGATCTGTTCCCGCCGGAGAGAAGGAGGGGAGGGCGCCCAGCTGGGAAATGGGGAGCGACTGGGCAGTCTGGGGGCTGGGCTGGCACTGCCTGGTCCCGCAAGGAGCCGGGTTTATCCCGGCAGGGCCCGTGTCACCAGGCTGAGAGGTCCCACTGGGGCCGCCTGCACCGGGATGGGACAAAGCCGGGGCTCTGCACACCACGTGTGCCCCTCCAGCCCGGCCCAGCTGCCCACGGGGCACTGCAGCAGCTGAGATGGAAGCTCAGAGCCACAGGCAAAGGGGCTCCTTTACCTCCATCAGGGATCGTCCCTGTCCCCTGCACGGCTCCAGGCAGGTCCCCGTGGCTCTGACAGGCACAGCTTCCCACGCAGCGCAGCAGAAACGAGCCCAGCGTGGCCCCTGCCAGGGGCTGGGTGCCCCTCCGGAGCCTGCAGAGGAATCAGCAAGAGGAGAGACCCATCACAATCCCGGCCCTTCCCAGAGAGAGGAAACTCAGCCCCGGGACTGAGGGGCCGCCAGTCAGTCCCGGAGGGGGCACCTGCTCTAATTCCAGCGGGGCCCACGGGGCCTCCTTCCGCTATTGCCCGTGCTGAGAGAGCTGGATGTTTGTCCCCGGCCCAGCCCCGCAGCCCAAGGGGGAGCAGGGCCACGTTAGCAGGACCTGCCCCTTCCCTGCCACGGGCCCAGGGAGGGTCCCGAGGGCCGTGCCGGCTGACACCGCAGCCTCCTGCCCGCTCGCCACGGGGCACCTCGCGGCTGAAATCCACCCTCCTGCTGACAGCTGCAGCTGGGCAGCGTTTGGGCTGATGGATATGGGGCTCAGGGATACTGGGAACCTGCTGACAAGAACCTGCTGCTGCGTCAGCAAACCTGGAGGTGGAATTGCACACGGCGACCCCAAGCCGGGCCATCTGCTTGCCTTGCTGAGGCCGTGTGTTGCTCCCAGTCCCAGGAAATCTGTTTCCCTGCCCATCCCCAGAGACAGGCGGCCCCCAAAACGCCTGGCACTCGGGAAGCACAGGCTGCAGGAGCTGGCAGGGCCCAGTGGCCGTGTGTGGTGTGTGACAGCGTGTCCCGCAGCCCCAGGGACCTGCACAGCAGGGACAGGCCCCGGCAGCGTTTCAGTGCCCAGCCCAGAGCAGGCTCAGGGACAGCCGGGGCACGTGGCAGCTCTGGGAATCTCTGCCACGCATGGCTGGGCCTTCTGGGACTGCCTGCTTGTTGGGAGTAATCTGGACGAGGAAGAGGAGTCTGGAGGGTGGAAAGAAATGGCTTCTGGCAATATAGGCCGGACAGCATCAGACATACAGACTGTTTGTTGGATTGTGAGCTCTCTCTCTTGCTGAGGGAGAGCAGGTTTCTCTGACTGGCCAATGTCCAGTCAGAGGCAGTTAGTTTTCCCAATTAAGAACCTAGTAGTTACCTGAAGATGCATGTATCCCCTCTATTATCAATCTTAAATCCTATCCAGTGCCCTGTCCAAGTTCATATATACCTATCCCCTTTTTCCAGAACCTGCCTTATCTGCATATAAACCCCCTCCATTTTGTAAAATAAAGTTAGATCAGCCTCAGCACCCACAGCTGGTGTCCCTGTGTGATTTGACTCCCGAGCTTGGCCGATACATCACCGGGCACAATGACAGACACTGCAGCTCAGCTGTGAACCCGCTGGCCCAAAGAAGACCCCAAGATCCCAAACCGTGTTACCTGCTGGCCAAAGGAGCTTCTCTGCAGACCGTGGAACCAACAGTGTCAGGGACTGCAGGAGCATTTGGGGGGCAGAGACTGAAAGGGGGCTGTGAAAGGTTGTGTGCTGCAGAAAGCAGCTGAGAGAATTGTTTCAGGCCGCAGTTACGTCTGTGCTTCTGCTACACCAAGCGGCGAGTCTAACCTGGCCTTTTGGCTCACCTTGCTGAGACTTTGCTAAGCTTTAGACAAGGGCTGTAGCTTTTGTAAGGAAGGGGCAGTGGGGAAAGAACGTGACTTTTACAAACGGACAGAACGCGTAGCTTCCAAGTGACAGGGAACCACTCAGCAGCCAGCGTTCAAGGCTGAGAAACAAGCCATCCGAGACGAGACAGGTTCAACACTGCAAATTCTGCGGCCTGCCCGGCGACAACAAAGCCCGAGCGCGTCCAGGCTGTCAGGGACTGCAATCGTAGCAAAAGGACGCGAGATGGCAGCAAAGACCGTGAAATAAGGACAGCGGAGCCGAGGCCGCGCTCACCGCAGCTCATTCCTCCCGCTGGGCATCGCAGGAGCTGCCCTCGCCCCGTCGCT